GGAGATGGCGGTAAATTAGCTTGCTGAGGTGTTGTTTTGTGAGAGGACACAAGAGTTCATGATTAGTGAGTCTGACTTATCTCTACGGGTGCTAGGAACAGCATTATCAGTGTGGATACTACTTACACACATGACATAATTAACCTTCGTGTTCGTCAATTCTTGGAGATTTTTTACCAAATGTATGAGACTGAGGCCAAGTGCGCTTGATGTTGTACTTCTGTCTCGTACAACTATGCATCGTCTCCAACATTTTAGACTCGTGGTTACGTGCTGTTTCGCTAACTACTTACTACCCTTTCGCACTTTTCTTCCCATCTCAGGAACAGCTCGAGCGCCTTCGCAAACAGAAAGGTCGCGTCGAGGAAGACCTTTTAGACTTGGAGAAACAAGTGGCGAAGATTCGAGTCGAGAACGACGCTCTTCAGGACCGTCTTCGTGAAGTGCATCGCGAGAAGGACCACCAACAGAGGGAACGCGAAAAAGTGACGCAACTCGCTGAGGATGAGAAGCGGCGACTTCAGTTAAGGCTACAAGAAATCCATCCTCCCCAGCATCTAGGTCCCGTTTTGCAAGGGAAACGAACCGGGAAACAAGATGAGGCTGAGGATGGATTTCTCTTATAGTTCTAATGCAGATGAGTTTCGAGGACGAGCGACAACGTCTGGTCTTCGCTGCAGACGAGGACAGGAGACGCTTGATCCTAGCCTTAGAGGAGGAAAGGGAACGTTAAGTTTTTCCAAATTGCATTCATTTGCACTTGTTGCATGTTGATGCTTGACCTGTTGAAATTCAAGGGGAAGATCGATGGGCCAAGGATGTTCAGAAGAATGTAATGCCGCAACGACCTTTAAGAACGAGCTGCGAAGCGAATAGCGGCGGCTGAACGACTAGGAAGTATCACAGGTTTGAAGAATAGCAAGATGCTGAAGGAAAAGCACCAGGGGGCGTCGGTTGATGTTGACGACTCCCTCGACGACGATGACAACTCCTCTGATGCTGCTGCAAGGAGGACAGCAAATCCAAAGCACAACAACATGTATGCTAGTCCTCCCGCAGCTGGCACGACGACAGCAGGCATCATCGATGAACTGGAAAGTGGTAGTCGTGGACTACTTCTGAGCAACAACAAAATGGAAAACCGATTGCTGTTCAACAATCAAGCAGGTTCTACGCCGCAGCGTGGCTTAGGTCTCCTAGAAAGTGCTGCAGCTAGCAAAAGTGCAGCAGGATTACTGTTCGGTTCGATTGGAGCGCGGAGCACAACTACTGGGAATGAACAAGTAGTGCGCGGCGGGGGCTTAGGTTGTGGAGGAGCGTCGCCTTTCAGTACCCGTGGCAGTGGTTCATTGATTGGAGGTAGCTGGCGTCAATCCAGCATGATCTCCCCAATTCTGCCCGCCTCTTCTCGATTGGTCGCTACCTCTCTAGCCGGTGGCTTGTCATCTACAACTCTACAACAACAGCCACCTCCACTGGGCGTAGGGGCTTCCTTACCGTTGTCTTCCAAGACCTCCACAACTTTCAAATCCGTTCTTGCAGTCGAGAAAGAGCAGTTAGAGGTAGAAAAACACGCTTTAGAAGCTAGAATAGAGGAATTTGAAAGGGAGCAATTGGAAAATAGAGAGGCAGTAGCTGAAGCGGAAGTGATGCAGCATAGGTTGGAACGGAAAGTTATGGCTTGGTTGTGTGTGCCAACAAGATTTGAACATAAGTATGCACTAAAAACACGTATAAGTTGTATCATGATCTTCTACTACTTGCCAGATGAGCAGGAGGTACTTGTACTCGACGGTTTTCCCAAGTTGTAGGAAAAGTAAGCCTCCTCTCAAAAGTAAGCCCTCCATCAAGAAAGCCTCCTAGAGAGCGTACAAGAACTGCGCCTGCTGTCCAGATAGTCTGTTGGATTTCCGCAGCACCTCGTTCTTCTAACAATGTAGCGGAATTCAAACAGGAAAGTGACCAGCTAAGTGCCCGTCTCAGCAAGGCCCAAGCCGCACGCCTTCAACTCGAGGAAGCGAAGGGCAAAATGGAGGCAGAAAACGCCAAGTTGAAAGCAGCCAACGGGGAATTGAAGACTAGGAACATTCAATTGGAAACTATTGTAGACGAATTGAGAGGAAGGGCAGCAGACGTGGTAACGAGGATTGCAACTCCTGCCAGTGCTGCACAAATTGCAGCTTCTGCCAGTGCTGCACAATTATCTTCTCGAGCCAATGATTTTTACAGAATGAAAGTAGATGATGAATTTCCTGCACAAGTGCAAGCCTCTGTAGGTTCTGCCTTGTCTCCAGGAGTAGCTCCTCTGGGCGACTCGTATTCGACTGGTGGAGTTACTGCAAGTCGATTCCGGAGCACCTCTTCTCCACCACCTAGAAGACGGACTGCAATACAGGAGCAGCAAGAACAACGAACAACTGCAGATTATTTTTATGGTGGTGCTGCTCCCAGTGCTGCAAGTAGTACCATGACTGCAAGTCCAACAAATGGACCACAGGGACAACAAGGAGCTCGTCCGAGCAGTAGAGCAGGAGACATTATCACTTCAGCTACGAGTCCTACAGCTGGTGGTGGACCTAGTAGAGAAGCAGCCAGTTTAGGAGCTGTTCTTAATAGTCGTAGCACCGGTGCAGAATCACGTTCACGTGCACGGGCCTCATCTGCTACCACTCGCAGAACAAGTACAACTAGTCGATCTCCTCAAGCTCAACCTCCACCCTCTATGCTACCATCTGAGAGAGCTAGGACGTCTACAGCTGGCACATTCGGTAAAGCGCCAGCGAGACCAGGGGCTGCGTCAGTAAGCGGAACGTCCTTAGGCGCAAGCAGCAGGGTTGTTGCAAATACAAGGACATCTTCGACCTCTGCTGCAAGTACTAGTGCTGTGGTTGTAGGAGGTGACGCGCGTATCGTAGATGATGTTGCTGACCCAGATGAAGGTGTACTACCGCAACAACGTCCAATCATCCTGGACGAAAGAGGTGGACCTTTATCCGTACCTCCAGAAGATTTTTATGTTTTTGGAGCAGGAGGAGGTTCCTCATCTTCTAGTAGTACTAGTACTGCTGGCACAAGAGCGAGAATCGGCACCAGTCCAACCAGAACAAGTGCTTCCAACCTAGCAGGGTCATATCGCCAAGAACCTGAAGAATTTATTCAAGGATCTACTCGGTCAAGCAGTCGCGTTAGATTCGGAGGAGAAGAAGTTCGTGACGTGGTCCAACGTACTGATCCTGTCGCGCAACAAGAGCTAGTACGTGGTCAACGCACTGGTCCTGTCGCGCAACAAGAGCTACGTCAAAGTCACGAACGCAGAAGCAACGGCCGCGCAGTCCATTCGCCAGAACAGGTGTCTCAGGAATTGCGCGAGGAGCACATTCAAGCGGAGGAGGCGTTGCTTATGAAAATGCCGGGATTCGAGGAGTTCCAGAGGCAATTGGATTTAGACCACGAGATGACGATGTTACAGCATGCGAGTGAAGCAAACAGTCCTAGTGGTGGTGGTAGTCGTAGTCCTTCATATAATCTTCAGGTTCGCTCACCTTCTAGTGCTAGTGGCCCTCGTCCTCCTAGGAGAAGTACAAGAACAGGAGGACATCTTGGTGGTGATGAAGCAGGTGGCGTTGGCGCTGTAAACACATCAACATCGAAGAACAGAAGTCGTGTTTCTCGAAGTCGTCAGGACGAGAGTCCTCAGAGTCCTGGTTCCGGTATGGAAGTACAACTTCCAGGAGAAGGCGTCGATGAAAGCTGGATGCACAAATCCATGTCACCTGGCACTCAATTTTCAGAGGTGATGAAAAATGCATCTTCAGAATTACAAAAGATCATCGATCGGAGTAAGTCTGTCATCCTAGCATCGGGGGAAACGCCTGTAGCGACTCCGACAACAGCAGCACAGGATCTTCAGGGAGTTTTAAGAACAACACAGAGTCCAGCTGCGCTAGGTGGTGGACGAACGATAGAAGTTGATATTGGGACAACTAAATTTGGCGGATCTCCATCTGGTGGACCTACTGCAGGCGGTAGAAATGCCTCTTCCCGTTCGGAGAGTAGTCCTGCTTCTTCTGAAACCAATAGCAGTAGAGTGAAAGTTGTAGCAGCTATACCTGATAGCATCGGGGCTACTTCATCTTCGCCATCAAGCAAGAGCTTCAGCGAATGGCTACAGAGGGAAATAGGTCTGAGACCCGATCACTCCGCGAAAATTGCTCGTCGTCTAACTAGTAGGAGTCAGAGTCCAAGAACTAATCGTGAGATCAATAACAAGGGTGGAGAGGACAGTTCCAATAGTACCAGCGGACGTGGTCGTCCTCCAACAGTCGATTTCCGTTATTCTCCCAGAGGAGGCGCTGGACGAGGTCTCAGGCTGGTCGAGAATGATCTTAGGAGAATACAGGCCTCTACTTCACCTCAAGGTGGAGGAACATCAAGAACTGCTGTATTGCCGGAAGTAGGAATCTTGAACAAGAAGAATTCTTCTAGTACTAGGCCTGAAATGATCAAGGTTACTGGTAGTTCCAAGCATATGGAGCGCGACACGGACGTAGACATCGAAGAATTGGAGGACGGGAGTGTCAGAGTGTGCGTCGTTACACCTGACAGAGTTCGCGTAGAGGTGACTAGTCCTGGGCCGTCTTCGCCAGGGGGAGACGAGCAGCGGCACCAGCAATTTAATAGAGCCGCTGGTCGAGGAGCGCGAGGACAAGAACTACGAAGAAGTAGACCTGCTAATATAAGACGTAGAGGTCGAGATGTTGAAGGAAGAGGTAGAGATGTTGAAGGAGAAACTGAACATCATGATCTTGCTCACGGTGAAGAAGAGCATGAAGAAGGTGAAGAGCAGCTATCGCAAGGAGACGAGGTCCTGGATGTGGAAGGCGAGCACGACGAGCAGGAGGAGCATGAAGCTGCTGTACTGGATCACAACAAGAGTCAGAGTTCCGCTAGACCTAGAAGTAGGAGTCGTTCTGCAGCTGGTGGAGCTGTCGTATCTTCATCTTCGCCACTTCTACCTCCTGCAAACGAATCACCACGTCATCGAACTGGGAGGTTGAAAGGCCATTTGCAGAGAGTCACATCTCCGAATCTGTCTAGTACGAATTCAAGGTCGAACTCGAGATCTAGGGTTCTAGCGGGTGAAACATTTGCTTCTATGATGAAGAAGCGTCAGAGCAGTATCGATAAAGAGAAGAAACATCTGACGGTGCAGGACGACAGGGACATCAATCTGCAGAAAGGTACTACTAGCGTTCTTAACGTGAACGATGCTGTGGGGGAAGAGCGGCAGAGAATGCTGGATCAACGTGCTGAGAAAATGCGACAATTGGAAGCCGAAAATGAGCGGACTTGGTGGCCTGAGACGAAGAAGAGCATTACTTCTAGTAGAGCTACAAGAACAGGTGCTGGAGCTGTGTCCTCGTCTCCGAAGTCTGTTTCTTTTAGAGAACTAGATGGTGATAGAAAGGCTGAAGCTCGGCAGGATCTTGATGGACGTGCGGTAGTCTCGGCTAGAGCTCCCCGCACAAGATCTTCCGCCTCATCTTCCTCGGCAGCCGCAGCTCCAACCTTCACCCCCACTCGCGAACGTGAATCTCATCACGCATACATGGCTCCACGAGACCCTCATCCTCGGAGCAGCCGGGAAGCCAGGGAAGCTTGGTGGGATAACCATCGTGCGGAAATGAATCGCCCCACTGCAGCAGGTGCAGGAAAACGCCCTCGCGCGAGCAGAAGTGTCTCCTCATCTGGTACTACAACATCGTCGAACAACAAGGTCCTAGGTCGGCATAAATCTCCTGTATCGTCAGGGAGTGCCCACTTTCCCACTAGGAATAGCAAATCATATCCGGGCTCACCTAACAATGAAGGCCTTTTGATGTCTTCTGGAGGAAGATCACGTTCACGGTCGACCAGTGGGCCACCAAGAGCTCCCAGCAAACAAGAAGCGGTTGAGGCCACTACAACTAGTCCAACTTCCACTTCTTCCACAACAAATAGAGCTTCAAAAGTGAAGAAAAAAGCATCTCTTGGTGGACACGGTGGGGCTCCGGGTGCTGTTTCTCGGCAACATTTTTATCCCGAGCAACTTTCATCATCAGGAGTTTGTAGTTCTGGCGAGGACGTCGTCAATATAACCACGAAAAAGAATACAGGCCCTAGTAAAACCAATACAACCACGACTACGTCCTCTTCACGTGGTTTTGGAGGTAGCACCACCCTTGCGAAAGCCAAGGCTAAGAGTAGTACAAGAAAAGGCATGGGAGCAACTACAACAACTGTATCCAGCACATGCTCGACATCGTCCCCTACAAAACCAATATCTTCCACACACAACGCTTCTTCTGCCTCGTCTAACAAGACTGTCAATCATAAAGGTGACACTTCTACTTCTAGTAGTGGAAGCAGATCTAGTACAACTACAAGCACTGGCAGTGGTAAAGGCACAGGAGGTACAGGTACTAGCTCGTCATCTTCTAAAGACAGTGCTGCTGGAGCTGGACTTCGTGGTGGAAAGCCCAGTAGTCATAGTAGTACTACCAAGCAAATGACGTCGTCAACATCTACTAGTAACGATGGCGTCGTCGACATTGAAGATGCTTTGGGTTCAGCTTCTCCCAAGCGCAAGGTAGGTTCTGTCACCACGATATCAACTGCATCTGCAGCTGTCACCACGACATCAACAAGTGCAGCAGTCGTGCAACCAGCAACATCTTCCTCGTCTGCATCACCTGACACTCGACAAGAAGAACACGCTGGACAGTCTCATCCTATCACCACCACGTCAAGAAGTGCTGCATCATCTCCCATCATTTCTCCCGCTGCCGCCATTATTTCTCCCAAGCAGGAAAACGAACGGAAAATGAAGTCTCCAGACGATAGTACAGCAACTGATGAAACTGTCTTGCCAAGTAGATCCCCAGAAGCTCTTGTTGTTGCCTCTAGTACAACCACAGCGTCTTGCCCCTCCAATAGCAGTTCCTACAGAGGTCACAACCCAAAGCAGCTATTTGATTTGGCGGAACAGTTGTGTGAACAAAAAAAATGGACCGAAGCTGAGTCCATGTTCCTAAAATTGAAGGACATAGTGGAACAACATGGAACGGCAACGACAGGTGGAGCTTCATCGAGAAGTACACGACCCAATACAGCATCGTCATCATCTTCACGAACTGCAACTGCAAATAACCTCGATTTCGATGGTATCGAATTGGCCGAAGTGTACGCGCATCTCGGAGTCGTATGCCAAAGTCTAGACAGGGTGCCGGAAGCAATTGCAAAGTACCGATTAGCAGTAGAGATGGATCCAGAACTGCACGTCTGCAGCGCGAATTTGGCCTCTCTATACCATTATCTCGGTGAAAATGAGGAGGCGCGCAATTGCATTGAAAGGGCATTGGCCGTGGATCCAGAAAACACTGTGTACCATGGAATCAAACGCGGACTTCAGGATCTTTTGGTAGACAATGATGCTGGTGCACTACCTGTAGTGCATGAAGAAGATGATCATGTTCTTGAGCAGGACCACAACGGTCGTGGTGGAGGCCTTGTTGGAGTTGTTCTTCAAAAAGTTGGAGAAGACCTAGAAGAACCGGATGTAATGCTTCACCTGCATAATATTGAGGAGGTCGAAGATGAAGAAGAGATAAGTCCCTAGATGATGAAGGATCGACACTCATATTAGTATTTATAGGGTTAGCAATAATTTGCGAAATCCTTAAGAGACTCCTTTAAGTGGCTTCCTTAAGGAAAACCCTTTTCCTTAAGGAATTTCTATTACAAAAAGTTATTATAACTTTCCTAAAGAGAAAAAAAATTCCTTAAGGAAGCTCCTTAAGGAAAAGTTGTAATAACCCTTGGCTAATATTAGACAACTCCTTAAGGGATTCACAAGGACTCGCAAGGCTCTCTAAAGCCCTTGCGCTGCTAGTGCTACGAGTTCAAAGGCACCGCGAACATGTTAACGCGTTCCCGGCTGTTAGTTTGTAGGCTACTCACGTACCCAGCCCCATCTTCAGCAGCAGGACACTACGCGACCCCTAGCGAATCACCCCAACGAACTTCCAGCCGCTACCCTTGTTATTTATCGCCCAGCGCCTTTACTTTTTTTCAAAAACTTCAGGGAGGTCATTCAAATACAGAGAAAGCGGAACGACCTCCCTGAAGTTTTTGTAAAAAAGTTAGCTCGCTCCCCTTCCGCGACTACCTTCCGCACACAGCAATCGACCACAGGAGCGCGCGGCAGCCCTTGGAGATGGTTAACCAGTATACTTCTAGTTCTAACCAGCTCACCAGGGTCCACCCTTCAGCCATGCAAGTCCTCACGGCTATCATTCTCACAGACATCGACATCCTCAACGGCTTCGACTTTCACACACAGCGATGTATATCTTTGGCCTTCTCATGGATATGATGATGCTCACCAGGGTCCACCCTTCAGACATGCAAGTCCTCACGGCTATCAATCTCACAGACATCGACATCCTCAACGGCTTCGACTTTCACACACAGAGATGTATATCTTTGGCCTTCTCATGGATATGCTGACGCTCGCAAGGGTCCACCCTTCAGGCATGCAAGTCCTCACGGCTATCATTCTCACAGACATCGACATCCTCAGCGGCTTCGACTTTCACACACAGAGATGTATATCTTTGGCCTTCTCATGGATATGATGACGCTCACCACGGTCCACCCTTCAGACATGCAAGTCCTCACGGCTATCATTCTCACGGACATCGACATCCTCAACGGCTTCGACTTTCACGCGCAGGGATGTATATCTTTGGCCTTCTCATGGAGATGATGATGCTCACCAGGGTCCACCCTTCAGGCATGCAAGTCCTCACGAAGCCGTTGAGGATGTCACCTCCCCAGCCTTCCCTTCCTTGACACAGTGGGAGCCACCTTCCCAGCCTTGGCGAGCAGACTTGGCGACTTTTTTCCTTTGTCTTTCTGTCTCTTAGTAGTCAATCCGTCTAGTTGTTAACCTATGCCCGGCGCAGCGGGCCCTTGATGGGCCCGCTTTCTGGGCATGTATTAATATTTCAAGTATTATTCAGTCATGAAGCTATGAAAGTTCAAACTTTAATATTAGCTAGTATAAATAACAAGTTAAAAGTTATTTACTTAATATCTCGTCTTCATCCATGTAGTTCAACCTCAAGAACACGCTAGAAAGATGAAGAAGTAAATGCGCTACTTAGATAAAGTACTACTTAAGAGTTTGACTTTCAGTACATGCTAAAAGATACCAAATACATCACAAGAAGAAAACATTTTCGTATAGTTACAAACTCAAACGAGGACATCGACACATATTAATATAATGTCATTATAATTACCTCTCGTCGATGAAAATGCCAAAGCCAAAGAGTTAAAGTTAATGCTGAACAAGCATATGTTGAGTGTCAATGTTTTATTCAATTTGATCTTGTTTTTACATTCCGTCTCCTCAATGAGTCAAACCTTAACATCTTCATCTTCAAATACTTATATAACCCGTTTTCTTTTCCATCTATATTCGTTCCTCTTTTCGCAGTTTTGTATAGTTGAGTTCATTGCTAGGATGAAGGCACCATGGAGGTAGTCTGATCAGGAAATACCAAAACCAAAGCAAACCCGTCGAAACCCGAAAGCATGCATGAAGATGATGAATCAAGCAATAGATGATCATATTTTATTTGCAACAATTATGTTTATGACCCAGATGGTGCACGACGAACGTGGTGGAACAGCAGCTAGGTTCGATCTCCACCATATTAATTTCTTTTTTTTAAGGATTTTCGAGGTGGATTGAAAGAGCATCGCCTTCAACTAGTAGGTACTAGGATGAAGGCGATGTTCTTTCAGCTGAGTAGCCACTAGAATACTTCTTGTAGCTGAGAGACCACAGAACTAGAGAGAAAGGATCAGTATCAATGAAGTCACCATTTTTTCTTTTTGATAGATGCATTAAATAAAGCATTCAATGTAACAGGAGTAAGTGAAAGAAAGATGTACGCAGTCCCTCAGAGGCGGCGTGCATCTTTCTTTCATTATATACAATAATGTAGGCTTTCTTTCATTATATACAAATATACAATGAAGCCTGCTGGCTTTTCTGGCGGGCCCCCACCTAACCTAACCTGAAAGAACATCGCCTTCAACTAGTAGGTACATGAAAAGATCCTCGAGACTCAATCTAAAAGGCGTAGAGGTTGTTATTTTCTTGATCTCCACTTTGGAACTGTTTGTTTTTCCTTTCTCCTTTCTCCTTTCTTGTTTTCCTTTTAGAAGTGCCCTTACATTTCCTTCCTGTTAGCGTTAGGGATCTGAGTACCAGGACCATGAAGATCAACAGTAAGGTCAACGCTAAGATCATGATGCCAAGGCTCAAGATCAAGATCAGGACGGGGATCAAGATGATCAGGCTCAAGCTATAGAGATCCGACACGAAGATCCCCAGGATTCTTATGACTGAAGGAACTGATTACGAGGAGGAAACGACCACCATCGCCCACCTTTGTGCCTTCAGGTTTTGGCTTGTTATCGTCGCTGACGACTAGGCTCATCAATCACGCCGCTGAGGCTATCGCGTACTTGCACTTTTAGGATTTCTGTAATTTTCCGCTTTCCTACTTCTTATTTTCTCCTTGCAGAATCGTAAGGCTATTATAGTCGTTTGGAGGTTTGATACATTATTGAGATTAACGTTCAACGATTATACGTATACAACCCACTACCAGTACCAAGTTTAAGAACTACCATAAGGACATAAATCTACCCCCTATAACTATTACATTAAGTTGAAGAACCATCAGGAAGAGTACTAACAAGATGCTGGATACTACCAGAAACAATAAAATGACTATCAAGAAAAAGGGAGCACCAGGATTACTACCGGGAGCAGGTGGATGGGCTCGTGGTGCTCTCCTTTGCTGCTCTTCTTTGTTCTTATTTCTTTTAAGGGTACCGCTGGACCATGCTCAGCGTCATCCTTGGCCCTTTTTTCAAGGGGAAAATGGGACCAGGGTGGAGGCTGTCAGGGGTGCGAGCGCGGTAGCTCTAATTCTTTTTGCCCAGGGAGTGGCTGGCGTGCAGCTTCAGGCCGCGGGACCCACGACGAGCGGCCAGGTGGAGAGCGGGGCCAAGTATTTCACAAGTATTTCTCAAGTGAAGAACAGCAACCAGGCGGTGACGATGAAATGCTATTTTGGCTTGCAGAGCGACGAGAAAAAAATGGTTCCGGTAACGATCGATCTTTCAACAAACGAAGGGTCCTATCAATCTCAAGCAGATCTTGTGAGTCACGTGATTAACCAGTTAAAGGCTCCAGGCAACAAATCGGACTTGGACTGGGAGGACATGTACTTCGATTTGCAACCGCACCACATCAAATTGGTCCTCCAGGCTACCAAAGTTGCGCTTTCAGAACATGACAATCTTTTAAGGGTAGGCTTCTAAGTGTGTTCCACCTGTTCTTATAGCGTTTGTCTCGCCTTTCCGAAGGAGGAAAGGCATAACGAACGGGGTAAACGAACACCAAAGGCCTACCGCTAAAGCTCGGCCCTGCGCTCGAGGAGGAACACGCAGCTGCTGTAGCGGAAGGCAAAAAAGAACTGCAGTGCAATCTCGAGCCTCAGTCTCCGCTGGAAGGAAATCCTCCTTATGTCAAGGCGGACCTGTTGGCGTACCTTCTAAAGAAGCCTGCCTTTTTACAAAATTGCAGTGAAAAAGTGAAATGCAACAAAGAGATCGTGCTTGCAACTGTCAAGACGTCGGGGGGTGCGCTGCGTTACGCTTGTCCGGAGTTGCAAAATGATACCGAAGTCGCTCTTGCTGCTTTCAAGCAAATTGGCGAAAGAGAAGGAGTGCTTGAGTTGTACGCGTCACTTAAGGCTAGTTTATCACTATCCCATGTGTTGGAGCATGAGTGCTGGAACACCTGGAGTCCCCTGGATATTTATAGGGGTGGAAAATAAGAGGGACGCCGTGCATCTCACTCAAGTAGTCGGGATAGTGAAAAACTAGCGCTAAGGCAGTGGAGAACAAGGACAGCAAAGGCGTTACTCTTAAGGCTATTAACATCAGTAGAAAAAAAGTCTCTCATATTGATTCTAAGGTCTTCAAGACTATTAACACGACTGGGGGGAACCACGTCGGTAGAGGGCGGGTCGCTATAATCAAGGACTCCGACTCTTCATCTTCATCATACTAGTCAGATCCCTTTTCGTTCATGATCCATGACCTTCCAGAAGTATAAGCTCAAGTTCTAATGTTCTGGCTGCCAACATTGCTGCAGCTGCTGCAGGTTCTTCCTCTTCCTCGCTGTCGTGGAAACGCGTGATGGATTCTGCTTCCACGGACTTGCTCAACGACAGGGAAGTGGTTCTGGCAGCTCTGACACAGTGGCCGGATTCTGGGGCCCCGCCTCGTACTCGTAGGTCTTCGCCTTTTAGTCGGCTCGCCAACTTACTTTGTGTGGAAGAAAACATATTAAGGCTTACATGATAACTGGTTTGCTACTTTTACATACTGTGATATTAGTCCACTCTGTTAATATCTCAAGTAGTGCAACATACTGATATTAAGGTTTGGATGATACATCAAGATGAACTGTAAAAATTAAGATTATAATGCTAATTCATTTCATCTTCCGTTAGAAGCAAGAAGAAGTATGTTATTTCTTCTTCTTCGATAGATGTAGAAGATTGCTCATCTGGAGAAATGAGAGCAAGAATGTATGATGCTACTCATGCATTCTAGGAGGAGTGGAAGCTTTGTTCAAACACGAGAAGCAAGTAGTACTACAAGAGTGAAAAACTGTACTGTTCATCCGCCATGCATCTTCATTAATATCAATACCAGCACAACTACTCCTAGCACTTTGTTCCTTCTTCCTCTAATCAGAAAGCTAAGGAACGACCGCGACTTCCTCTCGAAAGCGATAGAGCTGAAGGGTGACTACCTTTGGTATGGTTCCGAACGCCTCCGTCAAGATCCGGACCTTGTTCTGCAGGCTGTTCGCAAATATGGCCTCGCCCTTGAGTGGGCCTCTGCAGAAAGGAAATTAAGAGGCAACAAAATGTTAGTAAGTACTCGAAGTAGAAGTAGGTTCGTCCTCCTTCGGGCGGTCTGCCTTAGTCGCTTCGTCGACACCTTGCGTGATGAGTCAGCGACGGCATCCTATCCTATCCTATATACTAGAGACAAGATGGCATGAAGATCAACTTCTTGAAGATTTAATGATAATATTAACAAAGAAAAGATGAAGCCATAGCCACTTTCTACTTCATCTACCTTGATCAAGGAAGTAGATGAGTATCGGTATCAATATTCTGCTCGAAGACGGAAGAAGATGACTTGAAGTAGTTAGCTTTATATCATTTTAAATGATATATTACTACTAGTATTAGTATTTATTCATATGGTACCTAAACAACTCTTCATCTCAAATCCTTAAGAGACTTCCTTGAGAGACTTCCTTAAGAGACTTCCCTAAGTGCCTTCCTTAAGTGCCTTCCTTAAGAGACTTCCGTAAGTGCCTTCCTTAAGGCCATCGGTTTCCTTAATGAATTTCCATTAAAAAAGTTATCATAACTTTCCCCAAGGCGGAAAATTCTCCTGAAGGAGGCTCCTTAGGGGGCAGCTGTTATTTACTTAGGCTAATGATAGACCCTCCCTTAGGGCGGCCGCCACCTCGCAAGGGCCCCCTTCGCTTGCTAGCTTAGCCATGGCCAGCTTGCTAGCTGCTTAGCCCTACTTAGCTTGCTTGCTGTTGCTTACCCCTTGCCCGTAGCTACCTGGCTAGGTTGGCCGTCGCTAGCCTGCTAGCTGCTTAGCCATAGCTAGCCTGCTAGCAGCTCCTTAGGTTAGCCATAGCTAGCTAGCAAGGTAGCTGCTTGGCCATGGCTAGCTTGCTAGCTGCTGCGCCATAGCTCGCGAGCTTACTAGGTAGCTGCTCGGCCCTATTTAGCTAGCAAGCTAGCGACTTGGCCTTGATAGCTTACTCACTTGCTACCAGAGACCATTCCCCAAGGAAGTGCATACTCTTCAAATATTTCAACGAAATGGAGCGAGCTTCCCAGGGCTTGGCTTCTGGGCTACTTAGCTGACTTAACGAACCCTGAGCTAACTGGCCATAGCTTCCAAGGAGCTAGCGTCCCACAGCTTCTAAGCTCGGTGGCCATGGCAGGCCTCCAAGTTAGCTGCTGCCGGCTTCTAAGCTAGCTAGCAAGCCAAAGCCATGGCACCCATAGGCTTCTCAGAAGGTAAGCTAGCAAGTTGCCCAAGACAAAGCGTCTGAGCTAGCTGGCCAAAGCTTATGAGCTAGCTGCCCGAAGTAGCTTCCGAGTTAGCTGCCCACGGCTTCTGAGCTAGGTGGCCATTGCTTCGTTCTGAGCTAGCCTAGGTGGCCATTGCTTCTGAGCTAGCTGGCCATGGCTTTCGAGCTAGCTGGCCACGGCTTCTGAGCTAGCTGGCCAAGACTTCGGAGCTCGCTGGCCATCGCATCCACGGGCACGACTGGCTTCTATCTAAGTAAGCTAGCCAGCCCAACTGGCCTTTTGTGGCTTCCGAGTGAGCTGGCGAGCTGTTGGCCTTAAGCTCACTGCCGATGGCTTCGCTCTTGGCTACCAGCTATAACTCCCAGCCTAGGCATCTAGGGGCTCTAAGCTAGCTTG